AAAAAAAAGTTGAAATAAAGTGATTAAACAAAAATTATTACAAATATCGTAAATAACAGTTCACAAATGCATATATAGAGATCTTTTGAAGGGGAGAAATGGTCTTCACAATTTGAAATTGATCGCGCACACAGTGAAATGCTCGTATACATGTGCGCCATCTATCGTAGGATAAATGTACTATGCCAGAAACCTTCGCAGGAGTGTATTAAAAAACTTCCCAAAGCTTCATGGCAATCGTACTACGCCAGAAACCTTCACGGGAGTATATTAAACAACTTCTCAAAGTTTCACGGCAATCGGATAAACGGTGTGGTAATGCATGAAGGACACACACACACATTCATTTTTATATATATAGATGATGTATTTCTCTAGGGTTTGTGCGACTTTTAATGGACGATGGAACAACGGAATAAACTGGACATAAGAAACACACTTCAGGTGTCATTGTCTCATATTACTCCCAGATGGAACTGTCTTGTTGCAAAAAAAACAAGCTCAGGGTTCTCATTGATTTAGCGTTCTAGTGAGTTAAAATGTTAAATCACATTATATTCATTTTTTGGTGTAACTGTATTTTATTTTGAAGGCATGTTTAAATACAATTAAATTAAAATTATTAAATTAAATCAATCTAAAATATAAACAATCAACGTCCCCCCTCAGTGAGCCACGGTAAAATATCAAACGTTGACCAGTCCACGGCAATAAAAAGTTTGGGGACCGCTGCCTTAGAGCACATGGTAATTTGCTTCTTTTGCACCTCTTTGGACATCCCAAGTACAAATTAAAAACTATAAGACTGACATAAAAAATAATGTACTCTTACATTTTTAATGTAATTAGTTATTCCAATTGTTATTTTAAAGGACCTAAAATATATTGAAATGATGCTGTGATCTTTAAGATAATAAAAGAATATACAATAAACCAAATTATATTTTCTGAAAGATACTTTTTTACCTGAATATGTTGTATGAGAGAGTTTCTGAACTGTAACTTTGTAAGTGTAAATTATATTCCATTACAATACATTGCTTTTATATGATTAATTATCAGCATCACTAAATGTCTGTCCTAGTATCATTTTAATAATTATAATTGTTTTAATGTTATTTTATTGCTTGAATATTTAAATTTGTAATCTAATTTCAATATTTAATTTTTAAAAAACTAGTTCTATTTTGTACTCTTTAATTATAAAGAATACAAATTAATTATATAATTATAGATTTAATTATTGTATTACTAATGTGAAACAATTCATTAGCATACTTGAATTATAAATGAAGATATAATTTAATAAAAATTAAACATACTTTGCTTCTAATACAGCTTTCTTAATTGCATCTTCAATCATTTGACCTTTATCATTATATTCTTGAGGAATAGGAACTGCTATAAGAACAGCACTTCTCATATTGATGGAATCTCTAGCAACTAAATTTTTAAAGAATTTTCAGTTTTCATGAAATGAAATCTTTGTATTTCTTTTTATATTTGTTTCTCAATCATATAAATTTAATTCAAATTAAAACTTTTGATATGCATGGTGGCCATAACTAAAGTTTCCCTATTCAGAGCACTGTAGCTGTAACCAATAAGCAGATTGATACCAAAATTTGTATGTAGACTATACAAAGGATGCATAAAAGGAATTTTCAAAACAATTTTAGTTGAAAAACTTCCACTAGGGGATGCTTTACATGAAAATACACCAAACAAAACAACAAAAACACATTTATTTGTTCTGCAAGGAATATGCCTTCTGAAAAAGTTGTTTACTCATATAAGGAATGTTGCTCAATGTTCAGGTGTAAAATTTGAAAACAATGAACAGTGTGTTCTACAGCTTTTTTTTTTGCTTGTATGAGGTTTGGATGCCATCAAAATTGAGATCTGATGTTTTTAGGTAAGGATCCTGCCACTAGGTGTGTATTATTGGACACATCTCCGATTTGGATTCTAGATAAGATTGAAATATATAAGGCACAAGAGTAAGAATCACTCCAAAGTCCAAGAATTGGGAGAACAAATATAAATCAACTACACCAATATAGAAATACAAAAGGAAAATTTATTGCAAAAACAAAACATTTTACCTATATTTGAGTAAAGCAAAGCCTATCCTAGGAACTTACCCTTTTAGATGCTATTAAACCTAAGGGATATCTAACTGGGGGATAATCTAAAATTCATGACTCACAACATACTGGGAAAAAAGTTGCTGTCTTCTGTTCAGTTCCTTTTTTTTTCTTTATTCTTATACATTTTCCTTTTCTCTTCTCTGGTACGACTCTTTTCTGTTGTATTGACTCTCCCTCTCCTCTCCACCTATCTTTTTTGTTGTTCTCTTTTTGTTTTATTCTTTTTTCTGATGAATCATAATTTTATTCCAGATAAAGTTGATGTAATGAGATAAGCTTAAATGATTATTTTTAGTCTTCCTCCTCTCTTATCTAGGATGAATTATGTGTATTCATATGATGTGAATAAGATGACAATTGTCACTTAACACTAGTTGAAAAGGGGAAATGAAGGGTCCCTAAAATTGGGAAAATAGGCAAATTCTGTTACATTGCTACTTGCTAAAGTAAATAACCACAGTGTTGCATACATACACCTATGACATATTGGTGCAAAGAGCAACTTGTCCAATAACTAAGAACTGTTTGATAAACAGACAACTAAAAATATATATATACAACATATATATAATTTAAAATACAATAAAATTTCCAATTTATTGTTTAAAGAGATTACATTATTAGTTTAATTAATTAAAATAAGTGCATTGAAATTAGTTATACAAAATAATGCTAATAATAATTCAATAAAATATATATAATGAAAAACAAAATTTAAGGAAAATGTTGGACCTCACACTTGCAATATCATAAATGTTATTAATCTCACTGACTTTATACTTAATTCTGGCATAGTAAACACTAGTATTGTGTTGTATTCCAAAGACACATGGCAAGTTTTCCATCAAATATCTTTATTAGTTGAGTTGATACGGTACATTGTTTTGTACTCATTTCAGGCTTTGCCCCTCTTCAGTCAACTATAATACAATATATATTTTTTATCTATTACAGTAGAGAATTTACATAAAAAACAATGAGTACACAAACAATATATAGACCAGTGGTGTGCCATGATATTTGATGATAGGGAAGCTGTGTTTCTGTAAGAAACCGACATCCAGGGGCAATCAGTCAATTGCGTGTCAGTGATGGTCTAGAGTTTATTCGTATTCGTATCGTTCATTCGATAAGCCAGTAAAAACCATAGACTTCTCTAAATGCATTTTTAATATCACAATTACATTCCGAATTGCTAGCCATGATATAAGGGCTACAATTAAAAATAAAATAATAAAAACGTACTTGGTGAAATAAAATGTGTGGTGGATGTACCGGTACATACCTGGTACAAAATATTCTTCAATTGTATGAATATACTTTTAAAGAAAATTATAATTAAATATAGCTTTGTAAAGAAACGTACATAAAAATAACACAAAATCTTTACTTTTTAAATCTTATCCACTTAGTCAAATAGCTCCCTACGAGTGGCTAATGGATGGAAAAAAGATGGTTGCAGAGCTTGCATACACGCAGACTGCCAAATCCCCAGGGTGCCGATACCAGTCAATGTCAAATACCTCTTTTGTCGCATCACTATTATATCTCAAAGGACGCAACAGGGCTGTTGTAAATTTTAAACATTTCTCACCATAGCTGTAAAAATCAAAATATGTTATACTTAATAGATTGTCCGTCATTTGTTTTCTAACTAATTCGTTTTAGGACCAAGTGTCCTCAGAACTTTCCAAAATTTACAACTTTTCAGTCATTCTCATTGAACTGGAAAAATTTCTGTCTTTATTACATTAATAATACTAAGAAATCAGTCTCCACTGTACTCGGCTATAGATTGGTTCGGTTAAGCTTTCGTTTAAGTAAAATTTCGGCTCTTTCATCAGGGTTTTGTTTATGTCCCCAATTCCCTAATCGCTTAATTATTTAACTACTTCTTAAGTAGAAATAAGTTGAAACTGGTTACTTTGTACTCGAATATTTGTAGTCTTGGGAAAAAAGTGGAAAGACAAATTTTTACAACAACGGATACATAAATTGTAAATTTAAGGAAAATAAATTCTAGAGATTTTTCTGTACCTCATGCATCTCTCTCATTCATTAAATTTAGTTGTAAATGACTCTGTCAAAGTAAGTTAATTTTTTAACATTGTACAAGAATTGCACACTTTTTTCCTACATCTCCTTAAAGATGGGATATACGAAATTGTAATATCAATGGTTTAACATTGAAATCCATGAGTAATATAAAATTGGAGAGCGGAATAAAAATATCAAATATTTTAATGGATTTTTTTAAACTCCTGTAGAACTATCATAAAAACATACCAGTAAATTCTTATCAGTTGGGTTAAGTTATAAATCTACTTGTGATTCACGTAATCGGGTGAGGGTGGCCAAATATCTAGCAGGCAGGCGGCTAACAGCCCAGAACTGGTCTTGGATAGAATTGGATGCGGTATACGTTTAGCATCCACCCAAGGTCCAAGGCGTCCACCAGCTAAACCGGGCGAAGTTGGTGCTCTGTAAAGCGCATGAGCGAATCTGGCTTTTTGGATGCTGACAATACAGCGCTTCCACTCCGCCACTAATATTCGAATAAACAATAGCAATCTTATCTTTTTTCTCACATGTAGTATAGAAATTTGTAATAAGATACATAATGCNCAGCGCTTCCACTCCGCCACTAATATTCGAATAAACAATAGTAATCTTATCTTTTTTCTCACATGTAGTATAGAAATTTGTAATAAGATACATAATGCAGTTATAATAAAATATTGTGCGATTATTTTCATATACAGTAATTAAAATTAATATGTATTTAATTTTTAGAAAATACAAGGGAACTACCACTTCCAATGACGGCACACCATTGATATAGACATACTGTACCTTTGTTTACACTTCGTATAATTTAAAATCTTGTAAAATCTGCTTTAATTCTTTTATGGATAAACCAGTATACATTACAATTTAAAAACTTCCATAAACCTTTTCTTTCGGATAGACTGACACAATATAACGGTTAAAAATTTTGAGTTGTTTCCGCCCTTTTTTTTCCCTTCCTTTTTTTGTGTTTGTGCTGGTATATTTAGTGTTGCCACGTATGAAGTTTGCCACCTTGTGGTCTGATTTTTACCAAATCTTGCAGAAATTATTTTTTGAATAGATTGCTTTTCACAGAGAAATTTTTTTATTTATACTATTATTGAGCCAGTTTTCGTTTATTTTAAGACAGGTTTTTGACAAGACTGACTTGTTTATAAAATTGTACTGCCCAATGTTCTTACCAGCATAGAGGTATGAAGGAGTACATGTCGAGAGTTGATATTTGGCACAGAGTATTAGGTGCCCAAATCATTTGTGCATAAAAAAATCCAGACTCATAGGTAGTCGGGGGACCGAGAATTGAGTCAAAATAAAATACACAATGGCGACCCTCTTCTACAAACAGGCAAAACTGCCACCTCACCCCACCGAAGTCAGGTAGGGGAGAGTACCATCCACAGTCATTCTAAGAAGTGAACTCTGACCTTAGGACTGAACACGTAGTTTCTTCTATGTTAAATAAAATTTGTAATCTAATTTTGTAAATTTGGGAGTGCTTCAAGTATGACATTAAAACAGGGTATTGTTACAAGTAGGTTTTTTAACATTATCTAGTATAGGAAAATCATGGAACCAATAAAAATTTGACATTATATTAGGGTTGTCGTTACATCCGATGACATTATAATCGGGTTAAACTGTATATTGTTTGTGCAAAATAAAAAAATAATTTTGGATGATACAATAGCCATGATTACTTTTTTCAAAAACGGGAACTTTTCGTTACACATTGACAAAAATTCAACCTGGGCCGACACGCAACGGAGAGAAATTTTGAAATTAGATAGGTTAATTTCATTGAAGATGCATCATGGGCAATCTCGTGGTCATGGCCAGCAAAGTTTGAACAATCACGCCCAAAAGCAGCAATATCAAAGAAGATAGGAAAATGAGAATGAGACCTGCCTTGAGCATCAAAGTGATTCCGTCTTCGAGACATAGTCTTGTCCCAAATACAGTTTTGCCATTTTACTTGTTATTTATACTCTCTTTACTTTTTATAATTTCTGTGGTTTCTTTAAACTTCCTGTTGTATGTTAATTTTTCTTTATGCAGTATTTCTACGTTATCTTTGTCTATATTACAGTTGTTTAGAGTACAGTCGACTCCCCTATAACACTGTTGATAATTCTGTTTTATATGAATTCCATGTTGTATGAGTCACTTAGATTTTACAAGTACGTGAGCCGTTCACAGCCCAGCACACGTATTAGTAAAATCTGAGTGACTCGTACAACATGGAATTCATATAAAACAGAATTATCAACAGTGTTATAGGGAGGGGTCGATTGTACAATGTTCATAAAATGCAGAATTTATTCTATTGTATTTTAGGTCTTCTATGTGTTCTTTCAATCTAGTTTTTACTTTTCTTTTTGTTTCTCCTATGTAATGTTTTTTGTTTGTGCAGGTACACAGAATTTTATATACTACACCTTGGGCTTCGGTCGGTATTTGCTGGTTTTTCTTCTGGTTCGAGGTTAACAGTCTGTTCTCCATTTTTTGATATGATGGAGCTAATTTGTAGTTTATTCTTTCTATTTCTGTGCTGATTTGTTCATATAGACCTTTAATATACGGGAACTTAATATATTTTTTTTTAGTTGCTTGTTTATTTTTATTTTTACATAGGTTTCTTGGGTCATTAAGTCTGATTTCCCATTGTTTCAGCAATCTCTGCAGAAATCCTGCTAGAAGAAACTTCTTCCTTAATTCCATTAAGGAAAGTCTTCGTTTATATGTGCTTCTTGGCTTGTCCAGTTTATGATTTTGTCGTATTCCATTTTATATATATTATGCTTAACATATGATGGAATTTTTTATTGATACCTTGTTGTTACTTGGTTAGAACTTGATTTTTTGAATATTCTGTATTCGAGATGTTGTTTTAATCTTGTTATTGTAATATCTAGGTAGTTAATGTTTTGTCTTGTTATGTCTTCGGTCTCTATTTTAAATTTTATTGCTTTGTGTATACTATTTGTCTGCTTGTTAATTTCTTCTATATTAATTTCTGTTTCATCATATATTATTAAGATGTCATCAACGTATCTTTTGTAGAATTTTATTCCTGGTATGTTACATATTATATTATCGATGTCTATCATAATTAATTCAGCAAGTTTTGGGCCGATCACTGATCCCATACTTATCCCATCTGTCTGAGAATAGTATTCACCATTGGTTTCGAAAACAACACATGACACCTCACCAACCAAATACAACACAATACTAGTGTTTACTACACCAGAATTATAAAACAGGACATGGTTTCAAAAAACAAATTTATTCATAATGTTTGGAATAACAGATTAAAATGCTACTTTAAAATTAATCTTCATTATTTACTGTGTTTTATTTGTGTATTTTCCAGTAAAAATAAAGATTTTTTTATTAATACAAAATCCTTTTCCACATCCTTTGCATACATAGTCTGTAATCTGTATACAAATTTTGGTATCAATCTACTTTTGACTTCAGCAACAGAGTATCTGAATAGGGAAACTTTAACTAAAGCCACCCTATACATTAGTTTATACATTTTTAAATTTATTTTTATATATTTTTAATTATTATTAAACAACACAAAAACATTTATAAAGCAAAGAATAAATAGCAATATTTACCAATTAATTTTGCAGCATCATTAGCATTAGATACATTATAAGGAGCAAAATAACCACTTTTTGAAGTAAAAAAAGATGGAAATTCTTTACTTTGCCCAAAAGATACTACACAAACACCCACTGTTTCCTGTAAAGCATTTCACAAAATTTCAATTACTATTAAATCTATCTTTATTTATACAATATAAAATTTAGTAGCTATTTTAGTATACCAAATATTCAAGAGTTTTCTCTATATCAAGAATTGATTTTACACCTGCTGATATAACTGTAATTTGAGTATGAGCCAATTCTGTTAAATCAGAGCTGATATCCATACCTGTAGAAAACAGTAATATATTATATGTTAATAAAATAGTAATACAAATCAGAAAATAGAAATTTATAAAAATCTTTTAAAATACATTAATTAATTAACTTAATTAATTAAATATACATTCATTATAACTCTAGTTATAAATATGTTTATATTTAATGCATTTTCTGAGTTTTATTACTATTTTACTGATATTTATACTGTATATAGTGCCAACCTCATAAAACATACCAACAAATATTTATAAGTGTGAGGTTCCAGACAGGTCAGAACTGTCACAAAATTTTCAAGAATTTAGTGGATTAAGAGAAAAAATTTAATTGTTTAAAAAGTCAAGAAAAAAAAATATTTGTAGTCAGACACAATTTTGTTTATGTAAAAATGCAATGCGTAGTCATAAATCGTAGAAGGAATGTCATCCTATGATTGTTGAAAGATCAGCTTTAGCTTCATGTTTGACCTCTCCCACACTCTGGGTGGAATCCCGTTATGCTTAGTAATGAGGGACTAACCACTTGGAAAGCGTGGATGAGGGAGCTCAACCAATCGAAATGGCTGATCGAAAGACAGATTGATATAACCCCTGATCTTCAATGACAAAATCATTTTCTGTAAACTGTGCACATATGCACACGGTGAGTCAACGGATTCTCTGTATGCAAAATGCAAAGTGTCATTGTGCTGAGAGAGCAGTCTCCCTTTGAATAACTCCTGAAATTGTGTGTCATCAAAACCATTCTCCTTTTGCTCCATCCGCTTTGCTGAGCATTGCATCACCTTCATCTATCTGCCAACATCACTGATTGAGGAACCCTTCTCACCTGTCCTGGGACTGCAACCAACCATCTGGAAACTCCTAGAAGGCCAGGGCCATGTTCAGTAATGCAGAATTCTTGTTAAGTCTAGTTATGCTGCAATGTTGAACTCGTTTTTAACTACTGCTTGACTCCTCCCACTGCTACCCAAGATAATCAGTCACAGTTCAAAATCTTTACAGATGGGTCAAAGACCCCAGAAGGCATAGGGTGTTCTGCGGTTATCATTGGACCAAACGAACGAAACATTTGGAAGATGGGTGCAAAGCTGAAAAGGCATTGTACAGTAAACCAAGCTGAAACCTTGCAATACTCAAGGCTCTCTAGTACGTAGACACTCACTTTAACAAGAAAAATAAAACTTCTGTGAAAATTCTTAGTGACAGCAAGACAGCCTTGAAGTTCACAAATTAAATACAAAATTGATCATCACTGCACAAATAGTAACCCTCTTCCAGTACTTATCTGTGAAAGGCCTCAAGATCTCATTTGCATGGGTTAGAGGCCACTCTGGCATTGGGGGAATGAGAGGGCCGGCCTTCTTGCAAAGAGAGAGGCACAATCATCAACAGAACCAGTGTTTGGAGAGATCCCCAGCTGTTGGCTTCATGAGGAACTTAAAAAACTTACCATCTGGGACTGGCAAGCCAGATGGAACAGCAATACTATAGGAAAAACTACCCATGATTTCCTGCCAGACATTGCAAGTAGGCAAAAGATGGATTACTTCACCTCTGATTTTCACCTATCCCAAACCCTTGCAGGGCACAGGAACTTCCTTGCCTACCTAAGAAGATTTCTCCACAAAGGAGACAGAATATGTGACTGTGGTTCAGACAAAGACAAAGATCCCCACCACATAATCTTCAGGTGTCTCAAGTTTAGGACATTGAGAAAGACCCTCACCAAGACATTGTACAGGTGTGGCCTCCATTGGCTCTGTGCCCCAATAAATGATTACTTCTGAGAAACAATTTTACCATTTGAGCAGTTTGTATGTTCAATTTTTTGCCTAAAATGCATATCCTTTTAAATCATAGAAAATAAACCTACTTTTTCCACTCAAAAAGAGTTCCTGTGTGAGTATACTGTCACATTCTACAAAAATATCAAAACTATAAATAATGCTATAAATAAAAAACATCAATTAATACATGCACAGTAATATAATAAAATCTTATGAATTTGTGAAACATTAGTAACAGCATTTAGTATTTTATATAATGTATATAAAAGATGACTTTAAAGCTGAAAATGTATGTTCTTAGTTGTGCTGGTCAACTATGAAATCTTGCAGATGTTGCATAATAAATTATTGGTAAATAAATTTGTGAGTTAGTTAATGGTTGGTTAAATATTTTTCTTCTGCTAGATTTTCTCCTCTAATCACATGTGTTTTTCAGTACATTTTATCTTAATGTTATGGACCTTTTTTTGTATTTGTGGGCAAGAAAATCAATTATTGTGTAACATTTCCTATTGTAAATTAAAATAAATAAATAAAACTAACTCGACAAAACACCAAGTCTTCAATGTTACATAAAATATACAACATTGAAGACTTACACAAAAAAGAAAAGCTTTTGACATCTGAACATCCTTTCACAATCATTGAATGTGATTGTGTTCCAGTAATTATGAAAGGACATTTAGAAGACATCAAAAGTTTTTTTTTTTATATAAATTTTATGTTGTATATTTGTACATTTTTTAAATATATATTTCATCCTGGATTTTTAAAGATATTTTTTACAAATAAATTACACAACCAACACCTTATTATTCGCTGAGGGATTTTATTAAAACAAATGTTTTCGATCTACTCAATAGATCATCATCTGGCTAAATGGAACATATCATAAATAGAACAATAAGTTCAAAATTCAAAAATATCAAAAAACCGATAACATATCAACTAATAAGAATATACAATAAATTGTAAAAGTTACATACAAGTAAAAATAAATAACATACTACAACTACTAAACATTAATACAATCTATCATATCTAATTATAAGCTACTAAGTTTCCTTTAAATCAGTTATGTATCATACTATAGCTCATGCACTACTTGTAAGTTTTTAACTGCAAATTTCAAAGCCAAGGTAAGACCCTCTGCATCTCTGGCGTTAATGCATTTTTCTTTAAGCTTGCTTCTGTAAATTTCCATCTTTTCAGCCGTTTTTGCCAATGTTGGAGAGTGTACCTGTTTCAGGACTTCCACCTCATCTCATCTAACAGGGATCCTTGTGCTTGCGCCATCTGGGCCAATATTGTTGCATTAGATCCTTTTCTAACATCATATCTGTGTTCTTTGATCCTTACACCTAGGTTTCTGGTAGTAACTCCTACGTATTCTTTTTTTATTCCTAATAGCTGGTTCTCGTAGGGAATCTTATAAACACCTGCCTTATCCTCTTTTTTAATAACCCCTTTATCGTTTCTAAGAATTTTGTACAAATTCGGAGCTCTTTTCAAGATGACCGTTGATTCTTTAATGCTTGCAATTTCCTTCATAATTTCTCCTAAATGTTTGTTGAATGTGAATTTTGTGTACTTAGATGGACCTTGTCTAGAGACTTTATCATTATTGGCCTCCAATTTTCTCACAATACCAGCTATAATATTTTTCTTATATCCTAATGTTCCTGCTATCTGCATAATTATTTCGATCTCTGTAACCCAGTCTATAACGTTGTCGCAGTATATAAAAGCCCTTCTAACCAAGGCACGAAACGCTGCCAATTTATAACAATACGGGCCATTGGACCTTGCTGGGATGTATAGTGGGCTATGCGTTGGTTTGATGTACATGCTGGTGGATACATGCCCTTTGTTAAAGACGATATTGATATCTAAGAAATGTACTATCATGGAACTTTTCTGCTCTAGCTTCAGGCTGAGGCCTTCCTCGTTATTGTTAATTCTATCTATTAAGTTAGTGATTTCTCAATTATTTCTCCATATTACGAATATATCATCTACATATCTCTTGTAGTAAACAACATCTCTTTCGAAGCTACGCAATACTTTTTCTTCCAGTTTTCTAACCACTAGCTCGAATAGAAGCCCTGAAATTGGGCTTCCCATCGGAACTCCCCTATTTTGCTTATAAGTTTGGCCTTCGAAAGCGGAGAAGGATTCGCAACATACCAGGTTAGCCATCTCTACAACATTGTTTCTGTGATGCGTTAATGTTGGGTTTTCTCTAAACAAGAATTCCAATAGTGCTTTCAAACAAGACTGAATCTTAATGGACAAATTCTCGTAATCTAACACAGTTCCCACTTCCTCATCCATCAAAGTAATATCTTGTAGCTCTTTAACCACCATTACAGGATCCTTTGCCACCAATTTACTACTTTCCATCTTGAAGGAGATATATTCTTGCAACCTCTTTCTAAGAAGAACGTAGCTGCTTTATGCTTTTCCACTATTGGCCTTATTTCCCTGCCCTCTTTATGAGTTTTAGTGAAGGCAAATAGTCTAGGGATCCCAGGTCTGGGGTTATGGCATTTCCAGATAAAAGGGAAAACCTTCGCCAGCTTGGTTCCCTCCACTTTCTTAACTCTTCTATCAATAGCTTCAACCATTTTACTGCTGGTCTTAATGCATTCTGTCTTTCTGATGTACTCTTCTAAGGCTTTATCATACGTTTGTTTTTTTCATTATAACCATTTGTTTACTTTCATCTGCTCTCGCCACAATTAAGTTGTTTGCTTTCAGCCAACGTTTAGTATATAGGATGTCATTGTTAATACTTCCTCCTTTTTCTCCATTTTTCTTGATTTTTTTAACACAGTCTTCCAACGTATATATTGTGTTAGATTACGAGAGTTTGTACCCCTCCATTAAGATTGAGTCTTGTTTGGAAGCACCATTGGAATTCTTGTTTAGAGAAAACCCAACATTAACGCATCACAGAAACAATGTTGTAGAGATGGCTAACCTGGTATGTTGCGAATCCTTCTCCGCTTTCGAAGGCCAAACTTATAAGCAAAATAGGGGAGTTCCGATGGGAAGCCCAATTTCAGGGCTTCTATTCGAGCTAGTGGTTAGAAAACTGGAAGAAAAAGTATTGCGTAGCTTCGAAAGAGATGTTGTTTACTACAAGAGATATGTAGATGATATATTCGTAATATGGAGAAATAATTGAGAAATCACTAACTTAATAGATAGAATTAACA